CATCCTGAAGCAAAGTTCTTAACCCGAGGTACTATTTCTGGGTTAGCAGAGTCTGTAACCTGAAGCGTCTGTAGCCCGAGGTAGCACTGTATTCTTCTTCTTCTTCTTCTTCTTCTTCTTCTTCTTCTTCCCCGCCCATCTGACTGTGTTTCCCCAGGCACTCTGGGTGGCTTCCCTGAAAATATAGAAACATAATAAAACATCAAACATTTAAAACTTCCCAATATTTCACATGAGTTGGAAGGGGTCTCAAAAGTCTCCTATGGTTTATATTGGACTAGATACTGGGAGACCAGGGTTCAAACCTCCCCTCAGCCATGAAGCTCACTGAGTGACCTTGAGTCTCTTTCCCAGAGTGGTTTAACAATCAACCCTTCTCCCACCACAAGGGAACTCTGGGAATTGTCACTCTGTGAGGGGGATAAGGGTATCTCCTAACAACTCTCAGCAACCTTAACAAGCTACAGCTCCCATGATCCTTTAGGAGAAACCATGGCTGTAATGTTAGGATATGACTCTAAATGCACATTGGAGATGGGGTCTAACCCAAACTAGATTAGAAGGTAGGGTTGCCATATTTTGAAGAGCAAAAAAGAGGACACATTTGCCGAATTCTACTTTTAACAATGGATCACTATGATGAATCTCATTTTACATACCCATGAAAAAGAGGACATGTCCCGGAAAAAGAGGACATATGGCAACCCTTTCCCAGGCTTGATTGACAACCCTTCTAGACTATGAGTGCTAATGCTACTTTGAAAGGCAGCATGGAATCTCTGGTCTGATGGCTATTATTGTTGCCATGGGGGAGCTGCAAATTATTGGCTGCTAATGTGATGTTGAATGAGGTGTATTCTGAGCTCTGCATGTGTGGTTTTACCCACCTAACTCCCATTAGCATGGGAAAGGCTGTCCCTGGTTTTTGCACTCATGTCTCAGTTGCCTCAGAAACAGCTGTGGAGAAACCCCGAGTCACGGTTACACCATTTGCCACATGTTAGAGGACTGTTTCTTACTTAGGAAAGAAAAAAAAAATCATGTCTACTATTGGCCCACATGAAGGGGGAGCAATAAAGAACTGACATTGCCCCCACCTTTAATAGCTATTCCTTTCAATTTAATAATGAGAAATGAACTAAAACTATCAACAAGGTAGGCAAATCTGACAGTACTGTAATTGTTTTTCCAATAGAAACACCCACCTTAGCCTTTTAAAAATAAAACCACAGGCATAAGCTCACACAGGGCAGCCATAAGGAAGCCACTATACTCTCAGCCTTGGGCTTCCCTCTGTTACAATATGACCAACTTCAGAGAGCAATTACAATAATGATAACCAAGAAAATGTATGTGAGCCCTTTGAACACTTGGTATATCTACTCTATGTGCTGTTGTTGTATCTGCAGATAATACACCCAACCATCCAACTATTCTCACATTTCCTATCCACTATCATCTAGTTATCTTCCTTCTTATCATGCTACAGGAGTATAAATCTGCAGAAAATCAAATGGAGTGTTTTGAGCAGTGCATCCTTGAGCAGCCTCTTTTTCCCCCAGCTGCCAGAGCCCGCAGAGCTTCACTGAATATCACAGGGATCCATGCTTCCATGTGCTGTGAGAGCCAGCATGTTGCAGTAGTTAGAGCAGGGGTCAGCAAACTTTTTCAGCAGGGGACCGGTCCACTGTCCCTCAGACCTTATGGGGGGCCGGACTATATTATGAAGAAAAAAAGATGAATGAATTCCTATGCCCCACAAATAATCCAGAGATGCATTTTAAATAAAAGGACATATTCTACTCATGTAAAAACACAATGATTTCCGGACCGTCCGTGGGCTGGATTTAGAAGGCAATTGGGCCGGATCCGGCCCCCGGGCCTTAGTTTGCCTATCCATAAGTTAGAGCACCAGATTAAGACCTGGGAGACCAGCGTTCAAATCCCCACTCATCCATGAAGCTCCCTGGGTGACATTGAGGAGTATATCCCACAAAGGGGGCTAGAAATCTGTTCAGGATCGAGCTCTCATGCCAAGCGTAAGCCTCATTAAGCAACTGTTAAAATCAATGGGACATACTTCAAAGCAGGCATGCAAATGATGGCAGTATGGTAATGGTACGATGCTGACCAACCAGTTTCCAACAAGGTTGATGGATTTACTCCCTTGTATGTGTGCACGGAATTGCAGCCTGTATCTTACTTCCATTGACCACCATGATTGTCCCACTGAATGTCCCATTTAATTCCTTTTGAACCAAGGCTAAAATGTACAAGCCAAGTGAAGATGCTTTAATTTGGTCCGCAACTCTTTGATTCAAATCCTGGGAGATAGTGAAGGATCTCCTTCTCACAAACTTTTGCTTTTGCAGTAACTGAAGAAGAAGGGACTAGAAGACACAATAGATGGTCACAGGTCTTCCCAACATGCTCTGCTGTATTCAGAGATGAACAGAGCCTGCTGTGTCCTGGCTTGAGCCTGCTCCTGCTCAGACATTTTGGTGGCACTTGCTAGGACAGGGATGGGAAGCATTTTTTGATGGAGGGCCTCATTCCCATTTGAGCAGCCTTCTGGGAACCACAAGCCAGTTGTGGGTGGGGCAAAAGGAAATGATGCAAGAAATTTTAAATTTTATCTTTGTACAGTAGTCTAGCTTCTACTGAAGCTTAATGCTCACACATACAAACAAGGCCACTGTGTGAACCAAGAGACAACATACTCAACACATCACATTGAAGGTATGATCAATAGCGATGGCCAAGCCTCCAGAGGGCTTTTATCTGCCGCTATTGAACTTCTCATTGAGGAATGTTTCCTGTTCAATGTTTGGGTACACCCAAATATTTTGTGCTTAACTATGGCACATAATGCTAAGCAATGGTCCCCCATCTCACCTCTTTCTCAGGCATGATCACAACAAGGAGACCAGAAGTATTTACTTCTTTCTTCAACTAACTGTGATTACTCATTATTTCCAATCCCAGACAAACTGTGGTTAATTTTAACTACACTTTAGAGTAGGGGCAAATAACCTTTTTCATTTTGTGGGATGCATTCCCTCTTGGACGCCAGGTGCCCAGTGGTGGGTGGAGCTCTGACAAACATCTGTGGGGCAGAGGCAAATGTTGGTGGAGCGACGTACATTACCCTTACCTTTGGAGAAGGCCACATTCCACCCACACAAAATTCAGAGGTTTACACATGCACACACTTCAGGATCTCCAGATCAGATTTAGGGGAATGGCAGATCATGGTTTACAACCCTAGTCTGCTTCCCTAAGCATTTGTAAACACAGTTCTTGCTTGGGATGAAACGAGTAGCTCTGGTTAGTAAGAAATGATAGCCATTTCCTCCTCTTGTCCCTGCTGGAGGAAGAAAGGGGAAGGATCATGAGTCTCATTTCTGCAACACTAAACTGTGGTTTAGTACAACATCTGGATACAGCTAGCAATTATCCATCCCCCAGGACCACTGAGTGCACTATCACACCCTCAAATGCTCCTGGGATCCACAGCTAACATATGGGTTCTGTGGGGGACAAAACAGTGTGGAAAATGTTCCCAGGAAGGTGAAAAAAGCAAACACGATGAAATAAACCATTATTCTGTGAAGTGAAGGACATGAGGCAGGAATTGGTAATGCAGGTGAGCTGTGCACAAGCAAGCTGCCAGCTAGCTCTGCCGAGGCTCTTTTTATTAGCACAATATGCTAAACCAGTCAGATACATTTTGGACTGTGACCTTTACACATCTTCCAATCCCGAGATCGTGGGGTGGTACAAAGTTATTTTGGCACCTGTTTCCACCACATCATTTTCCCCTTAAACAATGTATGACGAAGGAGACAAAAGTCACAGACGGAGCACGGCAGACCACTAAGAGAGCAAAGGTTAGATAAAGGGCATGATGTTCAGACAGCGGTGGCTTGTCTGCGGGTGGAAGTGTGCTCCACACCCTGCGGTCATTCCTTCAATTCTGCACTACAGTGGTACCCCGGGTTACATACGCTTCAGGTTACATACGCTTCAGGTTACAGACTCCGCTAACCCAGAAATATTACCTCAGGTTAAGAACTTTGCTTCAGGATGAGAACAGAAATCCTGCTCTGGCGGTGTGGCAGCAGCGGGAGGCCCCATTAGATAAAGTGGTGCTTCAGGTTAAGAACAGTTTCAGGTTAAGAACGGACCTCCAGAACGAATTAAGTACTTAACCCGAGGTACCACTGTATTCAAAAACCCTTACCTAGTCACATTATTGCCAGTGTGGTCATGGATATGCTTTTATGCACACTTACCTGAGAATATCTCCCATGGAACCCAAAGGGCCTCTCTTCTGAGCAAGCGCATTTAAGGTTGCATAGGCTTTGTTTTAGTGCAAGGGAGAAAAGGTGGAAGATGCTTTGCTGGGAAGAAGCATGGAAACCACATTTCTACTTCAAGAATATTCCTCAGACATCTGCCTTTTTATGTATGTGTTACTGCGGCACAATGACATGATGGACATTTCGGGGAGAATGTCAGCCGAGATGAAAAATATTCATGCTAGCTGGAAATGAATCCTATTCAGTAGACAAAAAGCATTGTTTTATCGTCTTGCCTGCAGAACTAAAAAGCCACTACATCATACCTGCTCATTAGGTGTCATGAAATTATGCACAGAAAACAGGGATTTCCCCTTTACAAATGATCAAATTCAGCCACGGGGAAAGGAGGTAGCTTGCAAAAAAGGAGTCTCGGAGGCACTCTGAATAGATTGAGATCCAAGTTAGGGGACGGAGATTTAGTTCTAGGGACAGAACCCAATGGTGTGTTATTTAGAGGATCTGGAGATGCAATACTCAGTGATTCAGACCACGTTGTTTTTCAGGAGTTTATTTATTTATTTATTTATTTATTTATGCAGCATTATCATGGTATAGAACCACAGAATCATAGCATTGTAGAGTTGGAAGGGACCACGCGAGTCATGTAGTCCAACCCCCTGCAATGCAGGAATCTTTTACTCAAAGCGGGACTTGAACCCAGGACCCTGACATTAAGAGTCTCATGCTCTGCCGACTGAGCTGTCTCTACTGACTGAGCTATCCCTACAGAGTTTTGTAAAAAGAAGGCAGCACACCATCTAAAAAATCAACAGCACAGAAGACAGGAGGTGGGACACATTAGCAACGGAAGGCAACGTTAAAGGTAAAGGTACCCCTGACCATTAGGTCCAGTCGTGACCGACTCTGGGGTTGCGGCGCTCATCTCCCTTTATTGGCCGAGGGAGCCAGCGTACAGCTTCCGGGTCATCTGGCCAGCATGACTAAGCCGCTTCTGGCGAACCAGAGCAGGGCACGGAAACACCGTTTACCTTCCTGCTGGAGTGGTACCTATTTATCTACTTGCACTTTGACATGCTTTTGAACTGCTAGGTTGACAGGAGCAGGGACCGAGCAACGGGAGCTCACCCCGTCGCGGGGATTCGAACCGCCGACCTTCTGATCGGCAAATCCTAGGCTCTGTGGTTTAACCCACAGCGCCACCCGCGTCCCAAGGCAACGTTAGCAAGGGGGAAATGTGAATCGATGCAGTTTAGACAACCAGCTGAGAAGGGTTGAAAAGGATAACCGAGGGACTCAGCCTGAGAAACTAGTTTCCAAAACCAGGGGTGGGGAACCTGTGGCTCTCTGGATATTGTAGGACTCCAACTCCCATCAGTCCCAGCCTGTGTAACCAATGGTCAGGGATGATAGGAGTTGAAGTTCAACATCTGGAGGACCACAAGGTCCTTTTCCCTGGGCTAACACTTGGGGAAAGTACAAATGTGCACCATTTGTTTACATCAGTTTCTTTGCTCTCTCTCCCTCTCCCTCTCCGCCCCCCCCCAATGTTTCTTTCCGAAATGAGGTATGGTGTAAATCTACAAGCCTTCACAACAGTAAAGCACCCATGCTGATCACAACCCATCAATCAACCATGTTTGGTGGCCACCGGGGGTCTGATATAATTGGATCTACCAAAACAAAGGGGTTGTCAAGCACATGAAAAGCTACAAATACATAGCTGGTGGGCAACAACAGCAGGATTTCTCTCCCAGTGAGAGTTAGGTTACCCAGTGCCAGGGCTGAAAAGGTTCCACAGTCATGGAATCTGTTTCAACCAGGTGTAGCGCCCTGACAGGAGTGAATTACAAGCCTCCACATACGGGAATTGATGCTTTTGAATTATGGTGCTGGAGGAGACTCTTGAGAGTCCCATGGACTGCAGGAAGATCAAACGTATCCATTCTTAAGGAAATCAGCCCTGAGTGCTCACTGGAAGGACAGATCCTGAAGCTGAGACTCCAATACTTTGGCCACCTCATGAGAAGAGAAGACTCCCTGGAAAAGATCCTGATGTTGGGAAAGATGGAGGGCACAAGAAGAAGGGGACGACAGAGGACGAGATGGTTGGACAGTGTTCTTGAAGCTACAAACATGAGTCTGACCAAACTGCGGGAGGCAGTGGAAGACAGGAGTGCCTGGCATGCTCTGGTCCATGGGGTCACGAAGAGTCGGACACGACTAAACGACTAAACAACATACGGGTTCACGTGGAAATGCCACCAAAATCGGAACTAAATGTGCTCGACAAGCCCTTAGGAAAGCCCGTCATTCAAAATCAAGTCTTCTTCTTCCACCCTTAATCCGAATACCCTCGTTCTTTTTAGGGTTGGCTGATCACACTCTAGAATGTGATGGAATCATGGGAAATGTTTTTCATATTTATGGAGTATTATGTTACAAGTGTGATCTTCAACAATTTCTTGCAGCATGGAGAGCTTCCAGGTCAGAATTTCATACCCTCTCCCCCAGGTTTTCTGCTCCTCCCCAATGGTCAGTCAGCATCACATGACCACTGAGCATATTAAGTCCTCATTGGGTTGTTTTGGGTGAGGTTGCTTACGGTCCCCTCCTCAGTAAAGGATTGTTGTGGGGCGGGCAGGACCCCCACCTGTCCTCATCCTCTGTCTGGCTCTGTCTAGCAGAGTCAGAAGGAAATTTCTGAACAACAGTTGTTTTACTTTCCTTTGACCCCCCCAGGGCTCAGAAAAATCTGTCAAAAACTTCAGTCATTTGAAAACTGGGATGTTAAAAAAAGAAATTAACATCAAGGAGTACCTTTCATGTGGTTAACGAGTACATTTTGCAAAATTACAAAGAACATGCCTTTCTTCATTTCGTTTTTTAAAACACCCAAACAAGTTTAAATAAAAATTTAAAAAAAAAATTGCTGAAAACCTTTCACAACATCATTCAAACAATCTCAGTGAACATCTCAGTTTTGGATATTCAGATGATTTCTACTTTCCGTTAAGCGTATTTATTTATTTATTTAGTTTGTGGGGAGGGGGCAGCTGCTCCCAGTCCTCCTGTCTAGGCCCATGAACCCTTAATTTCACCAGACCGGTTCATGGTCCTCCCCTCTTGTGCATTAGTGAGGTTGCTTTGACTCTGCGAGCAACGGCACTCACAACCCAAATAATGGAATTAGGCGCTGTGGGTTAAACCACAAAGCCTAGGGCTTGTCGATCAGAAGGTCGGTGGTTCGAATCCCCGCAACAGGGTGAGCTCCTGTTGCTCGGTCCCTGCTCCTGCCAACCTAGCAGTTCGAAAGCATGTCAAAGTGCAAGTAGATAAACAGGTACCGCTCCATTGGGAAGGTAAACGGCGTTTCCGTGCCCTGCTCTGGTTCACCAGAAGCGGCTTAGTCATGCTGGCCACATGACCCGGAAGCTGTACGCCGGCTCCCTCGGCCAATAAAGCGAGATGAGCACTGCAACCCCAGAGTCGTCCACGACTGGACCTAATGGTCAGGGGTCCCTTTACCTTTACTATTTCTTCAGGGATGCAAATGCTCAGCTGCAGCCGGAAACAGAAGCGATACGTCCCAGTTACTCGAGAGTTTCCCTCTGTATGTTTAGCAGCCGACAAACAGCAGGCAACCTGGTTGTCCTAGCCCATTTTCCATTCTAGCAGCAGAGTTAATGTCCCTGCTGTAAACCCCAAAGACCCGGGAGCAGAAACCTTGGCTTTTTGTGCATTTCTAAGTATCCAGAGGGAAGTCCAGACTTGCAAATCACTATCATCGGACATGAGCAGAGTTGCCAGCGAAGCCAGACTTGTTAGAAAGTCACAGCCTCAGTGCATCTATTAACGTCACTCCTTTATAGCAGAAGGGGTGACTTCTTTTCTGCCACCAGACAGGAAATCAATAACCCTGTGACCAATCTCCACCTAAGTGGGCCATGGTGAAGCATATACATTTACAGCCAGCTGCATGCAGAAGATGAGGGGGGAAAGGGGGCATTTTTCAACCTTAACCGACAAGTGTGATGGCGAGGCGTTTTACAACGGGAAGATAATTGCAGCTGGCGGGCTGCATGCACTGGTGTGCACAACATTCGACCCTGCAAGGAGGAGCCCAGAGAGTGCTGGGCAAGCATTAAGAGAACTGTGGTGATTCAGTGGCAAAGGGAGATCAGTATCGGAAGACAAAAAAGAGTCCGGTTATCTTTCGTATGCAAAGAGCAAAGCATCGGACAACTCAGGGCCTGTCACAAACACTGAGAGAGACTTTCTCATCAAGCAATCTTGGCAGAATACAGTGGTAAAGGTAAAGGTACCCCTGCCCGTACGGGCCAGTCTTGACAGACTCTAGGGTTGTGCGCCCATCTCACTCTATAGGCCGGGGGCCAGCGCTGTCCGGAGACACTTCCGGGTCACGTGGCCAGCGTGACAAGCTGCATCTGGCGAGCCAGCGCAGCACACGGAAACGCTGTTTACCTTCCCGCCAGTAAGCGGTCCCTATTTATCTACTTGCACCCGGGGGTGCTTTCGAACTGCTAGGTGGGCAGGCGCTGGGACCAAGCAACGGGAGCGCACTCCGCTGCGGGGATTCGAACTGCCGACCATGCGATCGGCAAGTACTAGGCGCTGAGGTTTTACCCACAGCGCCACCCGTGTCCCCTGAATACAGTGGTACCTTGGGTTATAGACGCTTCAGGTTACAGACTCTGCTAACCCAGAAATAGTACCTCGGGTTAAGAACTTTGCTTCAGGATGAGAACAGAAATCATGTGGCGGCAACGGGAGGCCCCACTGTCTAAAGTGGTACCTCGGGTTAAGAACAGTTTCAGGTTAAGAATGGATCTCCAGAACGAATTAAGTTCTTAACCCGAGGTACCACTGTATAGGGATATACAAAACAGTTCCTGAACAGGAAGGGGGGGGGGGAGGGAGATATTTTAGGGAGAAGACTAGCAGGCAGGGCCCATTACTTACATCATAGGAGCCTACACAACACAGAACACTGTTGCTGTATGTAGGTTTTATTTTATTTGTTTTTTTATCTTACATTTTGGAAATGTACATCCAGTTTTTTTCCTTTAATTTTTTTTTTGGGCCCCCAAGAGAGTGGGGCCCTAAGCTATATCTTGTTTAGCTTATGCGTAAATCCGGCACTGCCAGTAAGATGTGTGGGGCATAAATAGCAACATTATCAATATGGAATGGGATGTCCCTATTTTCATCGGAGAAATGTTGGAGGGTATGTGGCTGTTTCTATAACCTGCACTTTCACTAACCCTTTCTTTCTCATTAAGAAGGCCTTATGTTCAAAACGTAAGTGAGAATTTATCTTGGTGTTTGGCAAACGAAAGTTTGGAATATTTTCATTGCTTGTTCACTTTTGAATGTTTTCCTCAGATCTTTCTATACAGTGGTATATATATCTTTCTATACAGTGGTACCTCAGGTTACATACACTTCAGGTTACAGATGCTTCAGGTTACGGACTCCGCTAACCCAGAAATATTACCTCAGCTTAAGAACTTTGCTTCAGGATGAGAACAGAAATCCTGCTCCGGCGGCACGGCAGCAGCGGGAGGCCCCATTAGCTAAAGTGGTGCTTCAGGTTAAGAACAGTTTCAGGTTAAGAATGGACCTCCAGAACGAATTAAGTTCTTAACCCGAGGTACCACTGTAAAATGAGGTGTTGGGACTCACAGTGAATGCCTCCCTTATTTTCTTATCATGGTGATGGCACTGACCTGAGA